GTGTTTGGCTTCTTTCCTTCATCCTGTTTGTGAGATTCATCCCCATTTTTACACATCATTTGGATCATTTTTTCTCACTGCTGTGTGCTATCCCTTGTGTTGATAGTTAGAGCTTATCCATTTACAAGCATGTTCTTGGTCTTTCTTTGCCCGCTGCGGGAAAAGATGGCCTCTGAACAGATTTGGTCCCCAGCAGAAGTTGTCAGGCCATCTCACTGCAACTCCCTGGGATGCACCCAAAATGCGAAGGCGGGAGCACAGCCTCATGGTCAGAGCACGCCTGCTCCATGAGACCAGGCTCTGAGGCTGTCCATCGCCCACCACTGCTGGACCACAGCCCTGGCACATCCTCGTGGTAGCAAAACTAAGTGTCTGTCAGCTCTTGAAAGAACAAAGGCTTTGGAATCAAACAAACTGCTTCCGGGTCAAGATTGGCCCTTGTGTGCACTTGAACGTGGACATATGACTTCAGTCCTGTAGCTTCCTTCCATGTTCTCACCACTTAGAGGGAAATATAAGCCTTGCAGAACTGGGGAGAAGATTCACCGAGAAGCCATGAATGCGCCTGGCAGAGGGCCTCCTAGTCGGCATGCACCAAATCAGGGCACTTCCTTCCCATCCGGTCATCCAGACAGGTAAATGACACAACTTTGAGTCTGACCCTTACCGGCACCGAAGCGGTGCTCCACCTCCTCTGGCTTATTCACCGCTTCCAACAGGGACTGCAGGGAGGGAAGGCAGGCAGGTTGAGAGCAGCAGTGAGGGCTGGAGAAGCAGGAGAGGCAGATACCCTGTGGTGTGAGTCAGGAGTGGCACGCACCATTGCCCAGATGGGTTGATTCCATTTGCAGTGGGGTTGCGTATCCGTATAACCCAGGCAGGTAGGGCTGAGCGGTTGGTATAAGCCACTCCTGGAACCAGGTGGTGCCATGACTGCCATGCTGGCAGGGAGAAGGGATGCCAGGGGGCCAAGTACATCTGGGATGCCAACTACGCCAGTATGGGTAATTTACACCGTCTTAGCGTATTATTGGGTTGGCTCTAAAGTTCGTTCAGGTTTTTCCATAAGATGTTACAGACAGAGCAAATGAACTTTTGGGCCAACCCAATAAAAGGAGAACAGTGACATCTTCTAGTAGACCATGTATCGGCCAGTTGTCACGACGTGTGCATTTCAGGCTGGCCTTGGCAGAGGACCAGGGCCCAGGGTGGACTGAAGGATCGCTTGCTTGACAGGGTCTTCGTGTCCCAGAGGCTGCAGAGGGTGAGCAGTTTTCTCACAGCATTTACCTCTTGGGGGAACAGGGCGAGTCTCCTTTTCCCACACCCTTCTTGTATATCGTAAGCTTGGAAAGTTGAGGCGGCATTTTGCCCAAAGACCAGCATCAAATATTTATACAATGCCAGGGCAAACAGCTTCCTGTGCACAGTAGGGGAGCATCTTTACTTTAATAAAAAATGCAGTGATAATGGAGTGTTTTCCATCGATGGAGGGTGAGTTAACCTTTTTGCAGGGGGAGCCTCGCTCTGAGAGCGACCTTTTAATCCCAGCTTGGAGCGCACGACAGCGAGGCTGAGCTGAGAGGGTGATAGAGAGACGGGCGGTGGATGAGGCCATCAAAACAAGGGGCTCTTTAAAAGCCCAGCTGTCTGCTCTCTGTGGTTCATTGACTTTTTTGCTGTCACAGATGACCAGATTTTGACAGCCGCTCTGAACGTGCTGGGTAGTTAAGTGGGTGAATCAGCACTCTGGATTCAGAGCAGAGCAGTGGGCTGAGAGGCTGGAGGTGGCACTGAATGAGGAGGATGCTGAACAAGGACCCGATTGGTTCCTGCTTCCCGCCCCCAAGCCTGGACCACACAGCCCTCCTCCCTGTGGGCGGAGGAGGGGAGGCCAGGCAGGGGTTAGGAGAGCAAGTCCCCGTCCCCCTGGGGACCTCAGCTGTGTCAGGCTGGGCATTCTAATACTCAGAGGGAGCTGGGCACATTTAAAGGACTTGCAGGCTTACCGGTGAGGAGATCTGTAGGTGGAGACTTTGAAGATGGGGTGTAATATATTTTGTAGAAGCCTTGTAGGCATGTGTGCTATGTTGATATGGTACTGCAGGATCAGTGAGTATCTTCCGGTCCCAGCATCCCCAGGTCAGGGCTTTATTCACAAGGGTTCCATAGGGTGTCCCTACAGTGGCAGGGTCTTCCGCTGGACCTGTGTTGCCCAAAACTTAAAAAGTGAGCTAGACTATTGCCCATGCTTGTCCTGGACCCCAAAAGACTTACAATTTGGTTCAGCCGAAGAGTAGTTCTATTCTTCCTTGCTTACCTTAGTAAAAGGTGTCTTAGAAGGGCATTGGACTTGGGAGGAACTTTTCAGCAGAGCAAATGAGAGAAATAAGGTTAGTGCTTTTGCTAAGGCTAGTTGATAACAGACTATTGGTTTAGGAAATAAAAGTAAAAGCAGAGAGTGGTACTGATTAACCCACAGGGATCTTACTGGAAATGGAGTATTGTTTTGTCAGGTAGGAATAATATGAGGCTACCATGCTCCAGGAATTCCCCTGAGAGCCGTGGTTTGCTGAGTTGATCGGGCCCCTCTCTCACTCTGGAATAATCAGGAATATCCCCCAGGTATTCCTGGCCTCGAATGTCTTAAGTTTTGATCGAGCCTTGTAACGGTCAGTTATTGCCACGGTAATGCTGTGTAACAAACCACTCCAAAGCTTCCGTATTTGCATGTTGGCTGGAGCAGCTTCATTGAGGCAGCTGGGCCCACTCTCAGGTCTGAGGGTCAGCGGATCTAGGCTGTGCTCCACTGGGGCAAGCGAGCTGGGGCACGTCCTCTCAAAGTGGTGGCAGAGACGTGAGATCAAGTTCAGCCCTGCCCATGTTTCGCAAGCCCCCGCTTGCATCCCATCTGTTGAAATCCCACTGGCCAAGCAAGTCACCTGGGTCAGCCCCTGGTGGGCTGGTCTCCTCCCCAGCCCTAAGTTGACTTGATCTTGACTTTCTTCTCACGATTTTGCTACTCATCTGGCCCTTGGTGGCCTCTCAGTCACTCTGCAGTCCTATTCAGCTGTGTCTTCTCCCTTGAACTCTCAAAGCCCGTGTTCCCATGCGGCTTGCTTGAAGTTAGCTCACATCTCTACTCTGAGCATTTTGGTCAGAAACAGCCGCACAGTTACCTCCAACTCCACACGCCTCCTCCCCTAACCCACTTTATATTCTTATAGCATTTACCTCCTCGCACGCTATGTCATCATCTCCCTGCCCCAGGGCGGGGGAAAGCTTCATGAGGGCAGGGTCTTCATTTATCACCCATAACCTCAAGGGCACCTGGCACGTAGTAGGTGCTCAGAATAGACTGAAGGAGGCAGGGTCTCTGGAGTGAAAGAGGATGGACTTTTGTCTTTCGGGCTTTTGAGACCTTGCTAAGTTGTTCTCTGGAAAGGCTGTGCAGTTAAAATTCCCTTCAGTGCTGGAAGCTTTTTCTATACAATAAAGAGTGGTAAGCAGAGCCATCTATTTGTTCCTTATTTTGTTGTTGCAAATAAAACGCATGTTTCTCATCCTGATGGCTTTTTTGGTTTTGCTTGAGAGATCTGTTGGAAGTCAGGCACTGAAGGTCCCTGTGTGTGTCCATCTGTCTGTCCGCTTGTGACTGCTGGACAGGGCAGGAAGTTCCTGAACTCCACTGTGCCTGGGGCTTTCTGTATCTGTCCCCCTTCCCTTCCGGATGAAGACAAGATCACATTCTTGTGTGAATTGCCCTTTATACCATTAAACATTTTTTATGTCTGTTGCTGTAACCGAACTCCATGGATTGTGGGGCTTGAGCAATAGACGTTTATTTTCTCATGGATCAGGAGCTGCACACCCGTGGTCAGGGGGCTGGCGTGTTGTGTTTCCGGCGAGGTCTCCTTTCCTGACTTGCAGGCAGCAACCTCTGTGTCCTCCTATAGCCCTTCCTCCTACAAGGCTGAGGGGCTGGGGGGCGCTCTGGTGTCTCTTCCTCGTCTTCTGAGGACTCCAGTGCTGTTGGACTAGGGCCCACCCTTATGACACCACTGAACCTTAACTACCCCCGGAAAAGATCTGTCTCCAAATATAGTCACTTTAGAGGGCAGAGCGTCAGCATCTGAGTTGGGAGTGGGGTTGGGGACGGAGTTCAGTCCAGGAGGGTGTGAAGGAGCAGATTTGTACAGTACTGACCGGCAGGAACTCTGTGTCCCTACTCCCCCTTCACAGATAAGAGGACAGGCCCCTGGAAGGGTCATTTTCCTTTTCCAGCACAGCACGGGCCCAACCACCTGCTTCTGAGTCCATTTCTCTATTCACACAGCTCTTCATCTAAGTGGATCCAGGGCACCTAGGAGCCACGCGTGATGTAGGTTTGATGAATTGTACAGAACTCAGAATCTTACCATTGATACGCCCAAGGAAACGTTTTCCGTGGTAAATCATTTGGAAAAAGTCCCCCTTTCCCCAAATCTCACCTCCTGACACGAGCGTCCTGTGTTCGGCATGCATGTCACACAGCTGTCGAGGAACCAGCACCGGTGGATCTGGCCTGCGAGCCCAGAGCTGCTGTGTCACGCCCAGCCCCCCTTCCAGACAATCTCTCTCCCCTCCGTATAGTTTTCTCCTAAAAACTGTCCCCGAACGCCTGCGTTTTCCCCCCGAATCCATTCTCCCCAGTGCTTCCTGACGCTGGAGCGTGAAAAGGAAGGTGAGCACATGAAATCAAATGGTGATTGCTAACAATGAGGTTTGGGCTCATAAAATCAAGGATATTATTCAAAACCGCGAGGTAAATGAGTCTCATTCATTCTGATGGGGCTAGACTCTACGACTGTGTGTGCCTTCTTTAATTAACATGCTGAAAAGATGTTCTGATTGGGATTATTAATGAATGCAGTGAACATTTTCACTGCTTGTGAGGCTTCTGCCACAGACGGTTTACAGCAACCACCCCCCCCCCCGCCCCGCTTTTTCTTTCTCCACAGATTCCTTGCACGACTTGACAGATGGAGTCTTCATCTTTGAAGCTGTTTCCACCGAAGACAGCAGAAACACGCAGGGCTACGATGCTATTGTAGTCGAACAATGGACGGTTCTGGACGTAAGTGTGGGGTTTGGCCACGATGCTTTTTTGTTTGGGCCGTGGTGGTTTTATCCGCTCGCTCCTCTGAGAGAGGCTGCCGCTAGACAGCAGGTGGACCTCTGGACACCCCTAGGACCCCTGTTGTCCTTGGGGACCCTCCTGTGCCCCCCAAGGTGGGAGAGAGGCCCCCACTTTTCCCCTTCGGTAGAAAACACACATCGTGTGTACCCGACCACTGGGTAGAACAGATTCTTCTTCACTCATCTGAAAGGTCCAAGTGACATAAGTGAGGTAGACGCATGGTTTGTGGGCCCCGTGATAATGAGAGCGTCGTCAGCATTGGAGCACGACCCTCTGGCCCCCCTCTGACAGGGGGCCACAGAAATTTATACACCAGAACAAGTGTACATGCGCCTGTGCTCTTAACCTTCACGGTGAGTCTATGGGTGAGTGCTGTGATGGCTTCCACTTTACAGATGAGGAAGCCGAGGCACCAGGCAGTTAGGTCCCTGGCCCATGAAGTGCTGCAGGATGGCTTTGGCATATTGACCCGAAAGGCCACCAGATCTGGGCTATGGGCAGAGGAATTCCCCAAGCTGTGTTCTGCTGGGATTTGGGAAGAGCTGGTACATTTCTGAGGTTTGCTGCTGTGGATTTTAAAGCTGCGAAACCGTGGACTTTTTAGACCCGTCTCTTGTGCACACAGCATCTGGGGTGATTGAAGCTAGTGGACTGCTGTATGCATGCTCTCAAGTCACCTTGGGAGCGCAGGGTCAGTGGGGTCAGGGGGCCCCGCCAGACAGGACGGCCTGTGCCAGAGTAATATGGATGAGGAAGCGGCTCTCTGTGCAGAGTGAAGGCAGGGGCATTTGCCACCCCTGCGCCAGCCGGCAGCCAGCCCCGGGCACCGCTGCGCCCAGCCTTGAGGCCTGCGGCCGTTCTGAGCAGAGCTGCCGGGGGCAGCCTGCCTCTGAGCCAGGGTGGGCAGTAACCGCTTGCAGGCGTGGCAGAACAGAGTCCACAGAAAAGCTGTGATGATCAGAAACGGAAATTCCAGCATTGCAGCAACCAGGCCAGTCAGGTTGGGGACCAGGAGTCCCGTGGACATACGTAGAGAGGGAGGTGAGGAGGTGGGTGGTGACCTGGTCTGCTGCCCAGCTCCACCAGGGACCCCCACCTGACCTGGGTCCCTGTGTGCCTCCATGCGCCTGACTGCAAACAGGGTGCCAAGGAAGTGAGACTCTTGAGACTGCAGAGTCCAGTGTGGGCAGTTCATGTCCCCCACCCCTCCGTGGGGACCCTAGACTTCCTCAGCTGTGAGACAGCAGTCCGTTCACCCAGCCCGCCTCCGGGGGTGGGTGCAGGCTGTGGGACAGAGCGGGACCACCCAGACGGGCCCAAGCTGGCCACCCGCCCCCACGGGCTATAGCAATGGGACACGGGGGCTGTGTCAGCGAGTGAGGCGTGGCTACCCCAGAAACATGTGCATGATTTTGCATGTGCGCGATTGGCAGCGGGGCCGTGGGGACCCGAGTCAAACCCCTTGTTCTCCGCACATTAAAGTGGCTGTTAAAGGCAGACTTTGCGGTTTCCTCAGGAAAGATGGTAGGTGGCAGTGATCCAGAACTGTCTACGAAAGTGTTTCTCAGAGTGTGGTCCCGGGGTCAGCAGCGGCAGCGGCCCTTGACGAGGTGTTAGAAACGCAGATGCTCGGGCCTGCCCTGGACCCAGTGAATCTGAAGCCCTGGGGGTGGGCCCAATTGTGTTTTGTTGGTGGTGGTTTTTTTTTTTTTTTTTGCAGAGGGTGGGGTGGGCTTCCCTGGTAGCTCAGCAGGTAAAGAATCCGCCTGCAATGCAGGAGACTCTGGTTTGATTCCTAGGTCGGGAAGATCTGCTGGAGAAGGGATAGGCTACCAGTATTCTTGGGCTTCCCTGGTGGCTTAGATGGTAAAGAATCTGCCTACAGTGCAGGAGACCTGGGTTCAAGGTCTGGGAAGATCCCCTGGAGGAGAGCGTGGCAAGCCACTCCAGTCTTCTTGTCTGGAGAATGCCATGGACAGAGGAGCCTGGTGGGCTACAGTCCATGGGGTCACACAGAATCAGGCACACGTGACGTGACTTAGCATGCATGCACACCGGGTCTTAGCTGTGGGATGTGGGATCTAGTTCCCTGACCAGGGGTTGAATGCAGTCCCCTGCTTTGGGAGCATGGAGTCTTAGCTACTGGACCATCAGGGACGTCCCGCCATTAGAGTTCTAACAAGCCCTCAAAGTGATTCTGAAGCTCACTCAGTTCTAAAGAATCAATGTCTGAAAGAATGGTACAGATGCTCCTTTCTCCAGACGTCTGTGGTAATGTGGTATTTGATGCAACGGGTGATGGGAAAAGCACTCCAAGGATTCATCCTTCTTCAGCGTTTGCAGTACTGAAATTTCAGAATGTGACCTTGACTTGTAACTGGAGGGAACGCCTACAGTCTGAAATATCTGTGGGAGGGGGATATGGTTATAAACTCAAGTAAGGACACAGTTGTCTTTTCTTCCCCCTTGTCAATTTTTAAAATTATTACTATTTTTTTTTATTGAAGTATAGTTGATTTACAATGTCATGTTAGTTTCAGGTGTATAGCAAAGTGATTCAGTTTTATGTACGTATATATTCTGTATACTTTATATATATTTTTCATATTCTTTTCCTTTATAGGCGTACAGAATATATGTTCCTCACAGTTGGTCCTTGTTAGTCCGAAACCCCTCATTAACCCTCTCATCTCCCCTTTGGTGACCATGTTTGTTTTCTATGTCTGTGGGTCTATTTTTGTTTTGTATATAAATTTATTCCTAGCTTTTTAAATGTTCCACATGTAAGTGATACCACATTTGTCTTTGGCTTACTTTAGTTAGTACCATGATCTCTAGGTCCACCCACATTGCTGCAAATGGCATTATTTCGTGTTTTTTATGGCTGGGTAACATTCCACTGTATGTACGTGCCACATCTTCTTTATCCATTCATCTGTCAGTGGATGTTCACCTTTGTTTTCCAAGGCACCCAGGAATTGCTTCTTGAATTGCGCCAAAGGGTAGACCAGTGTTTCTCAAAACAGCTTGTATCAGAATCCCCTGGAGAGCTTTTTAAGACGGACATCCAGACTCTCGCCCCGAGCTCCCCACTTCCGCCCGCTGTGAGCATCAGCCCCCGCTTGCAGGAGCCACGCGTGTGCAGGTGTTACGTCGCAGCCCAGCAGGGTGCAGTCCGGGTGGACTTGCCTCTGACCCAGCGGTCGGAAGAGCTCCGTCAGACCCTCGCCGCAGCCCCCAGACGGCTCCTGCCCTGCACACATGTGCGGGTCCCGTCCAGACCCCTGACCGGGTCCTCCAGTCCCGGCCCCTTCCTCTCCTCCCCACCCTTTCGGCCTCTGGGGACGACCCTTCCATTCAAGCCTGGGCAGGGCCCTCTTGGCTCATGGCTGGCCCTGCTTCTCTGGCAGCCGCTGTCCTGGGGAACCTCCCGGGGCTCTACCGCACAACACCCTGAGCAGCTCTTTCTCTTCTCGGAGCTGGGACTGGCTTGTCCTCATCCGGCCCTTCACTCCTGGACACGCTGATTCCGCAAACTCCGGGTGCAGACACGCCTTGCTAATTCTGCCACGTCTTCCTGGCCACCCTGTCTCTCTCCTGCTACACACACACACACGCACGCGCGCACACGCACGCACGCACGCATGCGCACGCATGCGCACGCATGCACACTTTCATAAGAAAACCTACCTGGCTCTTCACAGCTCTGCAGACACTGTGAGTGAGTGAGTGAAGTCGCTCAGTCGTGTCCGACTCTTTGCGACCCCAAGGACTGCAGCCCACCAGGCTCCTCCGTGCATGGGATTCTCCAGGCAAGAACACTGGAGTGGGTTGCCATTTCCTCCTCCAGGAGATCTTCCCGACCCAGGGATGGAACCCAGGTCTCCCGCATTGTAGGCAGACGCTTTACCGTCTGAGCACCAGGAAGCTCCGTGTAGTAGGTTGCAAAGAGAATGTGGGTTCTAGAATCTCGCCGGGTAGGCATCCTGCTCTTTTACTTCCCGCCGACTGAGTGTGAAAAGGAAACCACCCCCATGTGCTTTTCCATTTTTCACTTGTGCAAATGAGGACACCGGTAACCACCTCTCCAAGTCGATGAAAATGAAAAGAGATAATGGATTTAAAAGTGGTGAATGTCTGTAGTGAGTAAACAGGGCTTGCTTTCTTCAGTCACCTGGGACCATCAGTTAGAAAGATCCTCCGCCTGTTGTGTTAGCCTTGTCCTAATATCCCAGAGGAGGCTGGACTAGGGAACTCGTGGAGTCAAAGGCCAATATAATGACTGCGTTTGTCTCCTACAGCCGAAGACTGAAGGCAGCTGTGAATGGGGTGAAAGTCCATCCACAGGGCATTTATAACGGGTGTTTCGTTTATGTCCTTTGAGCCTACTTAATTTACAGTCTGGAGTGTGGGCAGAGAGGGTAACTCTTCGAAAGGAAAGGGAGACGGTGCGCAGACAAACAGGTGAGAGGCAGAGACGAGGGTGGTCTTCCCTGTGTCGCGTCCTTCAGCCTGCCCGCCCCTCAGAGCCGCGGGACCCGGGCTCGGGGGCCGCGGCGCCTCCTCCAGGCATGGCCCTCTCCCCTGCAGTGTCTTCGAGCTTCTTGTGAAACTTGCCATCAGAACTGAATATAACACAGTAGGGAGAACACCTTGAGCTGACGCAGTTGCTATGGGAGCTGGGGGGTTAATTGAGAAAATCAGTGCAAAGGAGCCAAAGAATATCACATTCAGAGGGAAGGATTGGGAGTTTGGGATTGCAGACGCAAACTAGTATATGTAGGATGGATAAGCAGCAAGATCCTATGTATAGCACAGGGAATTATATTCAATATCCTGTGATAAACCACAAGGGAAAAGAATATGAAAAGGAATATATATATGTATAACTCAGTCACTTTGCCAGACAGCAGAAATTAGCACAACATTGTAAATCA